CATCAAAAATCTACACAACTCAGCTCTGAAGAAAGAATTACGGTAAAGAAATGGGATGCCTTCCCGGTGGACTCCGAACATATAGACAGACCGAGTGATTTATGGAAACAGTTGGGTTATCGGTCTTACGGTGACTATATCCGCTCTACGGAAAGATCATCCCGGTTAACAGATGACCGAGCACTGGCACAAACGGAGCCGGAACCTGTTCAATTTATATCTCCGTGGATTTATGACCACAAATCAAGAACCATCAGTTATCATGAATATGAGTCAATAAGACCTATCATGGAACAAGTCACGCCAACTGGTCCTACAGACACAGAGTATATTGCACGAGAGTCATACGACGATGAACGTTTCACCAGCAGATTCAGACCGATTCCCAGCCAGATTATACCCTCGGGGGCGAAACTGAGATTAATGCAGGATCGCTGGCCAATGGATGAATACCGCCCTACTGATCGCCGTAAAATCGTTTCGTGGGACAATTATTTGGATCACGGACGTCTGAAAACTATACATATGATGAAGGAACGTGACAAATCACAAAAAATGCAAAGGATTCACACTGTTGTTGTTGAACCCAATCCCGTCAGGATACCAGGAGTATTTACGGCACGGTGTCCATCGATGAGCTCATCATTGGCGGGGGACTACACACCAAACGCCATAACATGGATTCGAACCCCATCCATCTCTGATTTACAAAATGGCAATCGGGAAGAGATTATTCACTATTCAACCAAATCTCGTATGATAAAAGCTCTATCGAAAAGGGACGGACTGGATGAGCGCAGTTATATTTATCCACCACAAAAGTGGAGCGATTCGCACACATTAGATGTTATTGGCCTCGTTCCAGAGGATTACGGATTTTATATTTGTGTGACTACGTTCTTATCAGGAAGCGGCTCACACTCAACCTTGAATATAACTAAGAGATCAGACAATCCTCTGTGTATCATGCCACCGGTCAAATCGCCAAAACTCACCGTTTCTAGTCTCCTTACCGATAATTCTACCGGTGAAGGAATCGGAGTATGCCATCCGCCCAACGTAACCCTTTTGCTTAAGTGTGATGCGACCGCTTTTCGCCTATTCTGTGAAAAAGCTGATCAAGATGCGAATGGGGTTCGCCTAATTGAGACGTCTCTAGCAGCATATATTCACCTTATCACGAGTGGAAGACAAAGATACGTCCTCGAGATCACAACTCCAATTATCAGAATACGTCCTCTTCAGCTTCCTGGATCTGTGGAACAAACAACGGTTGAAAAGTTTTGGAGTCTTCCTTTAAAGCAAGAATACGATGGTGCTTATTTGACGTGTCGTGCCAAACCCAGTGTAACCCAAACACCACCAGACGGAGTGAAATTTCTTAACTGGCTAAATGATCAGTTTGATGAAGTGCGACAGGGCCATCTTGTCACACGCTCCCGTCCAGTCCGGATTTGTGTTTCATCCAAAGAATCAGTCATTCGAATCGATCCAATACCCAATAGATGGGTATCTGATAAAAAGATTGGTGTCATTGAGCTGATTCCAAATCAAGTAATGACTTGTACAATCTACAATAGTGGCATGTTGAAACTGGAACTAATGATTTTTCCCATTCTGTCAGGAAAATCGAAATTGGCATTGTCCACCGGTTTGCATGGGATAGAAATGTGGTTGGATAAGGACGAATATCCGGTGCAGTGGAAAACCTACTCAGAAGCCAACCGGATTCGCTTACTTGTTCCAAATGGCGAAATAATTTCAACAGAACACATGGTGATCTGCATCGCAAAACCTGTCGGTTTGAATCAAGTAAGTCGACCATGCCGCTATGATATTCTTGAACTTATATTTAGGAGTCGATTTAACAATGGGTAGGGAGAATTGTCTGACCGTTTTAACACAGCTGGTTGTCTGGAATGTGTGTGCTTGCGTGTGTCTGGAATGTTATATACCACCAATGAGGTGGACTCGGAGCAACAGAACCGATGTGATTCTCGGTGTTATGCTACACATGTGATGAGAATAGTTCAGGGGAATGGGTATCCAAATATTCGATTTGATATGGGGTTCGCGCAAACCCACTTAAGTGACAACCATGTTGTTATCGACATTTGCAATACCATATCTTTTACATGGGAACACCATGAGGAATTTCATTCCAATTCCCAGGTCGACAGCTGTGTAGATGTCCTGGAAAAAGAAAATTATGGAACTGTGCACTACCCAACATATTGATCCAGAAAATCATAATAGTATTAGCTCTCATATTTTCACGATCTTAAAGCGAGAAGTATTGGTTTCCGTGTTCCCCTCCTCCAATGATTCGGTCCCATTGTTTCTTACATCCGAGTTTCAGTTCCTATGGTCGCAGCTTCCAAACTAACTTTCTAACTAGTTGCTGCGAATCTTTTGTCGGTCTCAAGCAGTTTTGATTCTTTCGACATTTTTTCGTTAGGCAACAATATTTCACATTCCGATTTCTTCACTTGCATAACCATTCTAGTTGAGTTCAACCTTCACAGCAACGAATACTTAGATCTCCCCGCGGAAACGGAAAAACTGGTAAGATGAATGCGTTTCCGATTTTAAAACAATCTATCAAAATGAGTCACATTCCCCACTCGTGTTCTCCGTTGTATAGAGCATCTTGTTCTTACGTTGGACTCGTTATCAACTTACAGTCTATCTCTGTTATCTGCTTTATGTTTACCTTTTTACAATGCCTTATACGATCATTGGTTTATCACTTGATTTACAAATACCGTCTGTTGTTCAAACACTTTATTCTCGCCACCGATTATGGAAAAAGCCAACGAAATGCTCTGTAATCATCCACAGATTCAAAAGTACATTCGTTCGCCATAAGGCCAACAAACGCATCAGTTGCCCCTCCAGTAGTCGTCTGTTCTGTTTCTCTTACAACACAGGTGACCCCTATTTCTCTTCTCTCCGTCCTTTCTGTC